CTACTCCCGTAAAGATTTACACCCTCGGAAACCCTGTACAGGGTCGCTATGGGTCGGAACCGACTCGACGGCACTTAACAACAACAACAACAGTATGACTGTTGGAGTCCTGGTGTGGCACTGTGGTTAATGCGCCAGACTGCAGAGCCATTTGAACTGCAAGGTCGGTGGCTCAAGCTCACCAGCTGCTCCTTAGAAACCCTATACAGGGTCGCTATGAGTTGGAATCAACTTGACAACACTTGACAACAACAACAACATTGTGAATGTTAGGTCATATAATGCCTGAATTTATTTCTTCACCTTTAAAGAATATTATTCTATCTTTTTAAAATTTAAGTCCCATTTAAGTTGGTTGTTCACCAGTTTGTTTGTTTTCAATATTTTAAAACTTCTGTAGAGTATTTTAAGGTAGCTTTCTCTCCAGAGTTAGTTTCACTGTATAAAATCAAAAGTCTTCCAAATCTATACTGAATGTGCTAGCTCTCCTGTGAGGGTTGCTCATTCTGACTTGAAAATCCAAATGTCTCTTATCCCAAATATCTGCACAGTTTTCAGCAACTTGGCAGTTACTGTTTCCCTTTCTAGTTTTCTTTGTTATGCATATAAAATGTAACCAAAGACTTCTGATGATTGTTAATCAGAATTTTGGACATCTTTCCTTATGTGACTTCTTGTTCTCCAGTAATTCAACCACCTCTAGCACTTATTCTGTCTTCTCAAGTCAATGAACTCATTATACTTTACTTGGGAAAGCTAGTGTTTAGTGTTTACTTCATTTGTTCCTCTTCTTTAAGAATAATAATCATGCTTTACTTGTTATCCAGTTTGGGAAAAATGTTTATCCAATTTTATAATTGTGTAGGACTATAGGTATGGTATCAGTTATTTTATTATGACCTGAAATAAAAGTGCTGCATTAATAATTAATTTTTTTAGAGATCCTGAAATCTATAAACTTTAATAGTATTCATGTTCATCTCCAAATCTCAAAAGCTAAAATCAGAAAATATAGGTTCTGTCAAAATTTATATTATTGTCTTTCTGTGTTTTTAATTTGTACATTCTACTCATTCTTAGGCATGTGGTCCTGATAACTGTTGTAATCCTAACACTTGTACACTGAAACAAGGAGCACAGTGTTATAAGGGAGAATGCTGCAGGAACTGTAAGGTAAGATTTAAGTTTATGAACATCCTCCATATTATAATACATTATGTCTAGTGTCTAAAAGGAGCTCTGGTAGTGTAGTGGTTATGAATCGGGCTACTAACCTCAGAGTCAGCAGTTCGAAACTACTAGTTGTTCCATGGGAGAAAGATGAGGCTTTCTGCTCCCGTAAAGATTTACAACCTTGGAAACCCTGTATGGGGTTGCTATGAGTCAGAACTGACCCCACAGCATATAACAACAACATTGTCATAAAGCTAGTTTAGTACACTTAGAGTTACAGATATAAGTGAAAGTAAATTACGTTTCATATAAAGAAAAGGATGATAAGTTCAGAATCAAATGTATGATTTTGAGAAGTTTGGTTAATTTGGGGTCCCCTTCTAATGCAATTATTCTCACTTATTAGATGCTGCTGTTCTTTATGCCATACTCAAAGTTGAGATAGTGTTTTTTCCTTATAGCAAATCTCCATTAAAAGATCTATTTTCATTCACTCTATTAATATTTATATTTTTACAAATAAAAATGTAATAGGTAGGTGAAATGTGTAACAATTTTCCATAAATGTATGAAGAATAAAACTTACTAGAGGGAACACTTTCCAATATGTGTTATATGCTAGCACAGACTTAAACAATGACCACATGACCGAAAGATCACATTCTAGATTAAATAGTAAGGATGTTATATCATTGTCCCATATTTTCCTTTCCAGTTCTTCTAATATGTTTGTTACAGGTTCTTCATAGTAAAGTCTCTTGTGATGGTCTAGTTTATATGTTAACTTGGCTAAGTTACTGTGCCCAATTGTATGGTCAAACAGTAGTATAAATATTTTGAAGTATGTACCATAGTAGCTGCTGTTGAGCTTACTCCTACTCATTATGATCCCACATGTGTAAAAGAAATGTGCTCAATTAGATATTAAATCACTGGTTTCTCAGAAATACACAGATCACCATGAACCTCTGAGAGGACTCAAATTTCCAACCGTTTGGTTAGTAGCTCAGCATGTTAATTATTTGTACAACACAGGGGCTCTTTTGAAGTGACTAGGTCACATGTACATTCAAAATGTTTAGAAGAGACTCTAAAACTTTCCCTTGAACATAGAGCATGTAAAATAAATGGAAGATTGTTATTGTTGTTAAGTGCCATTAAGTTGGTTTCGATTCACAATGAACCCTACACAGGATTTCCAAGGAGTGACTGGTGTGTTTGAACCACTGACCTTGCAGTTACCAGTCCAGTGCTTTTCCTATAGGAAGATATGAAAAGGTAAAGGAACTGAAAAAAAATTTTCAAGGGAGAGTTTGAGAAGATACAGTAAAGTATTATAATGAAATGTGCAAAGACCTGAAGTTAGAAGGACCAAAGGGAAGAGAGGCTCAGCATTTCTTAAGCTGAAAGAAATGATGACAAATATTTAAGCCTCAGGTTTCAATATTGAAGGATTCTATGGGGAAAATATTGATTGATGCATCAAGAAAAGGAATACACAGAGGCACTGTGCCAAAAAAGAATTGGTTGACATCCAGCCATTTCAGGAATTAACATATGATAAAGAACTGGTGGTATTGAAGGAAGAAGTCCAAGACGCTGTGAATACATTTGAGAAAAACAAGGCTTGAGGAATTTATGGTGGGTCAATTGAGATGTTAAAACAAATTTATCCAACAAAACAAATTTAGAATGCTCAGATTTGGCCAACTGAATGCAATAGATCCACATTTGTACCCATTTCAAAGAGTGTGACCCAATGGAATGTAGAAATTATCAAACTATCATTAATATCATATAGATTATGTTTTTCTGAAAATATTGACAAAAAAATTGCAAGAAATTCAAGATTCAGAAGAGGATGTCAAATGGATTTTAGCTAAAATCAGAAAATACCAAAATGATATTTACCTGTATTTTATTAACTATGCAAAGACATTCAATTGTGAACCTTTCTTTCAGTAGATTGGGTATGTTACCAGGATGTTACAATTCCTGTAGAAGAACATCAAACTTGGTAAAGTATAAATTCAGTGAAAAATGCTGAATTCACTCAGTGAGTACAAATCGACATTTGCTGTAACACTGGATTCAAGCGTAGCTAGCACTGGCTGTGAATAGGCCTAATACTGGGCAGGGTTTCATTTTTTAAATATATCAGGTCTCTATGAATTGGAACCAATTCAATGGCACCCAACAATGCCAACATCAGCAACAGCAACAGTCCTCTACAATGTAGGTGACCCTTATCTGATTAGTTAAAGACCTTAAAGAAGTTTCCTTAGGGCATTTTTGCCTCTGGAGTACAAATAGACATTTTGCTAAATCTCCCTCATTCTTCCCATCTCATTAACTATGGATTTTGGGACACAGGATTGCAAGAATCCTCAGTCTGTCGACTAACTTATAGATTTTGAATTTGACAGCTCCCCACAATTGCATTATCCAAGTTGGCAGATGTGCTAAATTTTTACTTAATTGTTATATATATAAACAAGTTAGAAGCCTAACTTGAAAGGGAGAGTAATGGTCCTCAATCAGTTCTCCAACATGAATTAATTTACAAACCCATAACTCCTGGAAGAAGGACCCTATTATATTGCCAAGTATTTATACTGTTATTTTTCCTCAAAGCCTTCCACAAAGGTGCCAACAATTTTTAACCAGAGTACCTTTACATTGGGGAAGATGAAATGATCAGGTTTGCAGAGATAACAACACTGGCTCTAACCTGACGCTTAACTCCAGGAAACCAATGTCACTCTAGTCTACCAGAGTAAGGGTTTATGGGGGAATAGGTAATCTGAGTTTTAGCTCAGGTCCATCTCACAGTGAACCCAGTGAATTTTGAACCTATACTGTGGTTTCCCCAGTTTCAAATGCATTATAGGAGTAGACTTCTTACTATCAACTGGCAGCTTAAAGCAAACTGCTTCTGGTGGTTTTTAATAAGAGGTATCAAGAAAAAAGCATTTACCACACAGCATTTGCATGTGATATCAATGATATTGTTCACAATGTGAATCTCTTCCAACCAATTAGTCAGATGTTCCAAATTTCTTGGCATAGATGAGTGAGTGCCTCATGGGCTGTATCAGGTTGTTGAAAGATTTTAATTTGTATTCCATCAATTCCTGGAGCCTTGCTTTTCACCAGTGCCTTTAATGCAGCTTTGATTTCTTGAATCATTACCATTGGTTCTTGATCATAT